CTTCCACCTGCCAGCCCCCTTTCAGAAGGCACCACTTAAGGTGGCGGGGCTGCCTGTCCTGCCACACGGAAGTGCTCCCTCGAGGAGTGACTGTGGTCACAGGCCTCGGGGCAGCAGCTCCGCAGCCCCCCAGCTCTTCTGAAGACCGGCTTAGCCTCGTGTCGTTCACCACGCAATACCTGTGACGGAACCAAAGAGCAGCTTTTGACCACTACTGCATATAAAGGGAGGTTCTTTTTCTCATTTAAAAAAACGCCTTTAATTTCATAAGGGGGTGTAGGTGTTAAGTGTGAAGGTGTTCTTTGGTGAGGCGGACTCAGTGGTACTAGAGTATAAATGTACCCCACAGTGGAAAGTCCACCTAAAGTGCCCTCCTGGGCTGACGCAAGCCGCATTCTCAGTGAGGAGATGACCAGGATTAGCTGCTCAGCGCAGCCACAGTCACCCGTACACAGACGGCTCAGGGAGAACTGGCTCTGCTGCCAGGTGCCTGCCTTGGCCGAGTCAGGAGAGGCAAGAACGTGTCGGTAAAAACACTGGAAACTGCAGGAAATAGTAAATGCCACGAGGACAGGCCGACCGGAAATCAAGGGTAAAGTGGGGAGTGTGGTGTTTTAAATGAGAGGAATGGAGATGAAACAGACACCGGGCCCCGCCCCAGCTCCCAGTGGATGTCCATGACCGGACCACAGCCAGGAGGCCACCCAGCCCACCTCCCAGGACCGGGGCCGGAGGTCTGGTGCTTCACTGGTGACTTTGGAAGCTGACCAGTGGGAACCCACGGTGACAACTGCGATGTGATCACACAGTTGCTGGGGGAGCAACCTAGGTAGCTCCCAGTTTGGGGAAGTGTTCAGGGGCAGACTGACCAGATTTGTTCATCAGCTGGACATGGGATTTGACAAAAAAGAGACACCTGTGGGTGACAACTGGGACCTGGACCAAAGCAACCTGAGTGTACTCTACGGAGAGAAGGAGAAGAGCAGGCTGAGGGGCTGGGCCGGGACTACCTTGGGCTTGCTGCAAGTGACTGTCCATTGGCAATGGATGGACAACCTGGAGGTAGGGAAGAGGATTCCAAGCCGTGGGAAGCTGCAGGGCGATGGCAGGGGAGGAACAGAGAAGGTGGCATGTCTTGAGTCAGGAGACCAGCAGTGCTAGGGAGAGCAGATAGGTGGCGTATCCTGGAAGCCAGGCGAGGAACCTGGTCCCCAAGAGAGAAATGACCAGGAGTGCCGAGTGAGGAGTCTGTGTGCTCCCAGCATCACCTCCCTGGTGGGGAGGAGCAGCCCAGGGAGGGAGGGCCTGGCGGCCTGTGTAGGAGGAGAGAGGTCCAGAGCCAGGAGGGGAGAGAGCAGTGGGCGGGTGCCCCATGGGGGCTGGAAGGAGGAGCACGGTCCAGGGCCGGGAAAACAAAATGCACGCGTAAAACTTTCCTTTCTCCGGGGCCCCTCAAATTCTTGTGCTGTTTCTTATTTTCTTAATATTTAATGTTGTTCCAAGGAAAAGTTTTAACTCAGTATGGACTTTACCAGTTATCTTTAAACTGAATTATGAGCATAATTCAAACGTGGAACCACCAATATCACAGTTTGCATTTCTACCTTGTAATACAGCAGGTTCTGACCGGAGCAGCTGAAGGGCTAACAGACACTCGCCCTCGGTCCCTGGCGAGTGAGGCCTGGGGAAAGGGCACCCTCCCTGCGGCTGGCTCCCGCTCCCCTGTTCCTCCAGAGCATGGTTTCCCACGAAGTGGCTGTGAGGCCCTCACTTGCTGCGAGGATGTGTCGGCCCTGCCAGTCACCAGAGCTGAGAAGGGAAGGGAACGTGGGACAGAAGTCTGAAGCCCGGGACACCACTACAGTAGAAGGCGGCCTGCCACAGGGCCCCGGAGGGAGCAGCAGAAGCCACACCTTGGAAAAGACGAAGTAGGGAGCACAGAATCGTGTGTGTACCAAACGAGAACCACGTGCAGGATCAGAGGCAAGAGGAACACCGTTTTACACCGACCCACCCGGCTTCCTCCAAATGCCTTCATTAAGGCAAGTGCTAAAGGATGCGTTCCGTAGAGAGAATGCCTGGATGAGAGGCTGAGGCCCTTGTGGTGGAAAACAGGAGCTCATGTGGACGTTGATTCTGCCCAGTGCGAACAGTGGCGCCCACCCGTTGAAGAAGAGGAATAAGGCAGGAGAGGGCCTGGAGTTCGAGTGCCCCAAGGTCCCGCACTGTCTCAGAGGCTGCAGCTTCTGAGACGCTGTGTGATTGTAAGTATGCATTTCTAGGGTGACACAACAAAAATAGAAACAGGCTTCATCTTCAAGGTGATAGAGAAAAAAGGGCGCAAAAAAATTTTAATTGAAGAGGAGAGAGGAACCAATGGCAGGACAAAGAAAACAGGACAGGTGGAGAGCGGTGAGCTTGCCGGCAGGTACGCACCCTGTTACCTGCAGACGGAACCGTGCCACGGCTGGGCTGTCTCCCCGCAGCAGTGCAGGTTCTGGCGGCAGCTGCCCTGGGCACTCTGCTGCACCACAGCCTCAGAGACCTGCCTGTGTGGCCAGGGACTCAGCTGCTCGGCCGGCCATCCCATCAGGAGGAACATCCGGGGCCAGCGGAGCAGAGGCCAGCGTCCAGTAGTGACTCTGTGCTGTGGACGGAGAGCAGAGCTGGTGTCCACGGTCTTGCCCTCTAAGGCAGGGTCCTCCTGCCACTTGCATTAGGTTTCACCTTCTTTCAAAGGAGCCACTGGTGTGACCCCAGCAAGCTCTCACAAATGACATCAATGGCCACCCTTCAACAACCCAGCCTGAAATTGTACACTTTCCTGTGACATGAAGGGTCTGGTACAGGTAGCCACAGGACACCCCACTCGAAGTGCTGGTGCACAGTCCTCGGTGGGGGACAGGAATGTGAAACACCCACGCAGCTCATGGCCGAGCAGATGTCAACGTATGTTTTGGTGGTGCTGATAGACAAAAGTTAAAATTGATTTTAGGAGGTTTTTTAAGGTGATTACTCGAAATTTTTAAGAGTGCATGTGGCTGGGCTGTACTCCTTTGGTCAGTGGTCAAGGGCACCTCCTGAGCCATGCCATTAGAAAGTCCTCAAAATAATTGTATCATTGCTTCTATCAATCAGTCCACAGAGGTTTTTAGACGAGTGTGCGATATACCTCTGAGATGAGGAGAGAGAATAAAGTCAGGTGCAGTCCAGGCCCCAAGCCCCGAATGCTGCCACTCACTCCCGGGGACTCTGCAGCCTCCGCTCCTTGCTTTCCTCCTACTCGGGGAATCGCAGTCTTTACAACTTAATTGAAGTCCAGGAACTGCTCACGCTCCCCAGCCCATCTGAGGACCAGTTTTGGACTCAGAGCCTTTTGTGATCACAGCATCACTAATCCACCCAGGCATTTCTTCTAATGTGTGTTCCTAGGAAATCGTAGAGGGTTTGTGGGAGACACACTAGGGCAGGCCACGAGGGCAAACCTGTACCACTCTGTAAGCACAAGAGTAACAGAATCAGCCTCCATCCTCAAACCGACTGGAGGTGGCATCCCCCCGAGAGAAGGGCATATACACAAGGGTTGAACCTTTGTAATTTGGGAGGTTATACCCAGCCACACCTTGCTGTGTATTTGGAGCTGCTTTGTCTGCCTGGCCCAGAAGTGGGAGAGAGGAAGTCACCTGTGAATCTGTGTGACATCTGCATGATCCTGAGCTCTGATCCTATGAACTAGCTGCACAAAACCTGCACTCGTTTTGCATCATCCTATGACTCCTGTTATCGCCATGAGGAGGTAACAGCATGCGCTGCCACAACCACCCAGCGGTCCTCCAGTCGAGCCTTTCTGTCCTCAGACTGCTGTGCTTTTCTAGATCTTTTTATATCAAAGTGTATCACCTTATCAAAGAAGTGGGCTTGGAAGCCACTCCAGAATGCCGGAAGGACAGGACTTTCAGAGCAAGTTTCCTGTAGTCTGGGGACAGAACTGCCGCCTCTGTCCCAGTGCTGGCAGTGAGTGCTGCAGGCTGCTGTGGGAGTCCACCCCTGTGCCCGAGAGGCTGCTTAAGGGCCTCAGGTAGGGAGTGCTTTGAAACCTCGAGTTCAGAGCCAATGAGAAAAGCAGGGTGAAGTCAGTCAAAAGAAGGCCACCATCTTTCTCTTGGATTCTGTGTTCTTATGTCACACTAAATTCACCTAAATGCAACCTCTGTGAGGAGATGGCTGGCAAGCAGAGCGGTATGAACCAGCTCTGCTGGTGCCAGGAGTTGTGGCTTAGAGTAAATGGTGCCAGAGCACGATGACAATGTGACCTAATTTTGTAAAATCCTATTTCCTGTCTCCTACTTTTAATTTCAAATGCATTCTTTGCTTCTTTGCTAGAGTTTACAACCAAATAAACTATAGGGGAAGAAAATATATTTCCCCCCTACCCTCCTACATTCTTCACCTGGAAGTCTGGTAAATTAGAATAACAAGACAGATGACCAAGAGACACATACCCCTTTATGAATCTCATGTGACATGGGCGCCTTCTCGAGGACGTGAAGTCCTGAGCAAACAGCTAAGCTCGGGGGGTTTGCTAGGATAGATGAGACTGGAAAGTAGAAGGGAAAATGGCAGGGCAGAGGATGGAAAAACTTGGCAAGGCCTGTCCTCCAGGTACACGGAGCCCTCACAGGAGGGCACTCACCCTACCGCAGGGGAGGGGCAGGGGTCAGAGTTCTCCTGGACTTGCTGATTCTCCTTCACGAAGGAACGCGCCTTCTTTCAACTGTTGAGCGTGTCGAGGTGCTGCAGCATCTCCGAGTAGTGTGTCCTGACCCCATCACGGCATTTTTAGTCATCTGTCCAGAACGAGTGCCAGGATTTATAGTTACTGCCCAAAAAAGCATTGCTCAGACACAGACTTGAGGCAAGTTAGTCAGCAGGTGGTCAGGACTCCAGGAAGCTCCTCCCCTCGGCCTGCAGTCTCTTAGGCAGCCTCTCCCCGTCCCCAGTTCACAGAGATCAGTCACCGCATCCTGTGCTCCTACGACACCAACATAGAAGAACTCTTCTCAGAAATCGATCACTGCTTGGCTGTGAACCGAAGCATTCTTCAGCAGTTGGATGAAAAGTGCGGGCAAGAGCTCACAGAAGAGGACTGGGAGAAGATCCAAGTGCAGGTAGGCTTTGGACTGCCTAGTGACCCCTGAAGGAGTGGACTGAGGCACGGGTGAGTAAGAGGGCAGGAGGAGCTCCGCAGGGGTCCTTGGAGGACTCAGGAGCCCGGGAGGCCTGCCCTAGCTGGACCTGCACCCATACGGGACAGTAGGCCTTTATGAGCCAGGTAGTGGCTGCCAGGGTCCCTTCATGGTGAAATCGCTTAGATGTCGTCTGGCTGATGTGTTTGCTGAGCAACCAGAACTCTTCCTAAAGGTCTTCTGGGACTCCCCCCCCCCATCCTCTCCTGCACCCACAGAACCTAGGGACAGAGAGAAAAGGCCTCCCATGACTCAAAGCCATGGGGGGAAACAACACATCCTAAGCGTAGGGAGATTTAGTGGTTACAAAGACCCAAGTATTGTGAACATTTCTATTTTTATTGTCTAATTAGAAGGAACCATGTTATTATATCATTAATGCTCAGTATTTTACAAAGTAATTTTGTTTTAAAACTGCTCGTTACAAGTGGGTTACTATCTCTTCCATTTCACGTGTGTGTGTGTGCACGCGCACGCGCGCACACGTGTGCCTATAATTTGTCATCTGACAGAGTGAACTTGGTCCTTTAGAAGATTCACTCCCGGTCTCCGGGTCTGTGCATCTAGCCTGATGGGACTAACTACCTCCCAGGACAAACCTGTCCACCCTGTGTTGCAGGCTGCTCATCGGGAGATCTGCGAGTGCTCCATCTGCCTGACCCCGCTCTCCCTTGATGCACAAGCAGCCCTGGGGACGAGCAGCCACCCGTGTCCCCGTCCCCGGGCCACAGTCCTCCTGTCCTGTGCGCACCTGTTCCACCATACCTGCCTGCAGGCTCTGGAGGAGTTCTCCGTGGGGGATCATTCCCCCTTCCACGTGTGTCCTCTCTGCCGCTCCTGCTACCAAAAGAAAATTCTTGAATGTTAAAAAGTTGTATAGTTCTGAGGAGAAAACTTAAGAACTGTATTGAGTTTTGAGTTAAATACTACAGGGCCATTTCTAACCAGTGACAACTCTTGGTAATTATAGAGAAGAAATATAATAACTATATTGCAAAACCTGCCAACCAACCTATCTAGTTTTAGCCTTTATTTATTTTAAAAAATGTCAGATTCCTTAGTTTAATCTCTTGAAATAAAATGAGGAATTCTAAAATACAGTTAGTGTCTGACCAAGAAGCTGAGAAACTGAAACACTTTTAAGTTAGAGATGTTTTCCACCAACACAAACCTTACAGTCTGTTGGTCCTATACTTACTTTGTAATAATCATTTTATTTTGGGTAATAGGTTGCTGTTGTAGTTGAGAACTTTGTGTAAAGCAGTAAAATAAAAACATTCCATGTTATTCGATAGAGTAAGTCATACTTTAGTGACAGAACAGCACAGACTACTGTAGCCCCGACATAAGATGACCAAGCAGCCCCACTGACAGTTGTCTCTGAGGTGGAGACTGGCTGCAGCGCCCTCCTGGCTCCCTGCACAGCATCCCGCATGCTTCAGATCACCACTGTAAATCCCGCCAGGGAAGAATAACCAGGAAAGTCTGTACGTGGTCAGTACAGATGTTATTCTGAATATTTTTGATCCAGGTTGGCTGAATCCACAGACGCAGACCCCGTGGATAGGGGCTGGTTATTTACAGTGGCCAGTTAGAGTGGCATTGCACAGAGGAGACCCCACCCAGTTCCTGCCAGCAGAGCAGTGGGGCAGGCCAAGGGTCCACCCTTCAGGCCTGCCAGCGCCGCGGCTCCTTGACAGCACCCCTGGTAGATCTGCTCATCTGCTTGAAGAAGACAGACCAGGCCGATAGGTGGGGTCTATGTGCAGAAGTAGCACAGCCTGGCCCAAGGGTGGCAGAGGGGCAGGCTGCCAAGCACGTGACATGCCAGGGTCCAAACTAACCCAGAGAAGTGACCATCCATATTTCTATTTATTTTCATCTCAGCATTTTTTACTTTTGGTACATATAATTATGGGGAATAATGGGTTTCACTGGGGCACATTCATACTCTGGCATGTTTTTTTTATTTATATGTGAATAAATGTGCATGTTAGGGTTTGCTCAAACCCTTTATTATGATGGGTATATGACATTACAAAATCTAGAGACTGATCTGGAGAATGCTTTGTACAATTAGCAGGGGGGATGCCACATCAAAGAGCCTTCACTCAGAAGGCTCAAGCAGCAGATGTGTCTCCGGCTCTGACAGGCAGGGCACTGTCCTGCAGCGAGGCCATGGGCAGTGACTGCACTGCCCTGACTCGGAACCTGCACAGAGCACCGGTGACAGCGAGCCCACTCCTGCTTTGGCTGGTGGTCTGTTTCTGTTCTTTGCAACCAAGTGCTCCCTGGTGCTACTTGCAGGCAACAGGTCCTCAGGAAAGTCAATGGGGACAGAAGTTCTGGCATTGGTCATGGGACCCCATCAGGGATGAGTACTGAGGGATTGGTCTCAGGCACCCTGTGACAGTAAAGACCAAGTAGGTGATTATGGAAAAATGGCCTTCTGGGATGGCAAGCCTGTGAGGCGTGGAAACAACTGCAGCACAGGAGGAGAAAGCTCTTCCACAGACAATCTGAACATGACGCTTTTGGGTCCAGACACGAGGACATGCAAACCTTTACACTGCCACATCACTGTCCCATTAGGTCTCCCGGATGGAAACTGGAGCACTGGTTGAGAAAGAAATAAGAGTTAGCGGGAGGGTTCAGAGGACGCGAGGCTGTGTCCCGGGTCTCCCTGTGCTTCCTTGCCAGGCAGAGCAGTCCCTTAGCAGGCGCTAGCCCCCTGGGTCACCTTGTAAGATGAAGCCGATTCTCCTCCTGCCTTCTCCTCACACCTCCCTTCTGTCTTTAATCCTCATAATTAAGAGCCTGGCATGCTCTGGGTTGGAGGCAATTACAAAACCACCATCAAGTGCAGCAGAAAATACTTGAGAGACTAGTGGAGCTGGAGGCATTTATAACAATTAAGGTTACAACCCACAATGAGGATATAACTGTCATGAATCTTTATGAACCAAAAAAACATAACTGTACAGTGCTTGAATCAAAAATGGGTTGCCAAGAGAAACTGTCAGAAAAAGGAATTAACTCACTTGTCAAACCATAAACAGATCAAGAAAACAAAATGTCTGACAAGAGTGCATTGTATGCATCTCCACACAAATGTTGACTGGGTATCTGGGTCATTTACGTGTCTTCACTAATATGAATAAAATTGCTGTGAATACTCATGTATACATAAAAAAAGAAAAACTAGAGGGTCTTTTTAAGGATGCTGGAAATATCTGTGAAAGTTGGCCACATACTAGACCACGAAGAAGCCCTCAAAGGAGAAAGGTTAAAAGGGATGAGACCGTGTTAGACTGTCATCACATGCCTTTGAATGTGCTGCCCGCGGGCTCCTCCATCCCTGGCCTCCAGTGGGCCCATGGACTCACCAGACCTTGACTCCAGGCTTGGCCCTGGACCTGTCTGACCCACGGGATGCTGGAGATGGCGCATACTCTTCTCCCTGCCTCAGGCCGCAGCTGATCTGGGGTGAGCCTGGAGAAGACCCAGTTCCAATCAAGAAATTGCCTGGCAGAGACATGGAACGCCCTCTGGGTACAAGGCCATCTTTGGGAAAGACCAGAGAGGACTTTGAGGGAGGAGGGGGACCATACAGAGGACAAGAGTTGGGCAGAGCAGGGGATGGGACACTCTTCCCACAGGCAGAAAGGCTCGGCTCATGACACTGCAGCTGAGAGCCGCCCTGCTGCTGTGCAGCATGGAGGGGAGAAGAGTCGCTGGTGCAGGTGGCAGTTGACACACCCTGCCACTCCTCCCCAGAGGGGTCTAGCCACGCAATGGTCCATCATGGAAAGACATGAGCCTATGACTGCGCTGTAGCCTGGAGGGATGAAGGTGTTCTGGGATCTGATGGCGGTGATGGCTGTACAACCCTGTGTCCATATTTAATGCCATGAATTATACGCTTTAAAAGAGTGGGTCTCATGGTAGGAGAATTCTCTCTCACTGTTAGGGTAAACATGGGTAAATACATATTTTTAAATCTTGCAGTGGGGAAGGCCTAAGTATGACACAAGAAATTCATAGGATATGCAAATTTTGACATCAAGATTTATAAAGTCTTCATTCAGAAAAACATTGTGAACAAGTTAAAAAAAAACTGAAAAATTAGGATAGCACTTATGATACACCAGAAAGACAAATGGTATCCATAATATATTTTCATAAATAAGGAAATTATGAAATACCAGAAGAAAAATGGGCTTAGTGTGTTTAATGATAATTCACAAGAACAGAAATAACAAGAGTTTCTCTAGTATTCAAAGTATCTGCCCTCACAAGATATTAAAAAATGCAAAGCAAAGCAATGAAATGTTTGCCTGGAGTGGCCACTAGTGTAGAAGGACTGGTGAGGCCTGTGCCAGTCACAGAGCACACTCTCCACACTGCTGCAGCAAGTGCGGGGGTCCATTCTGGAGGCTGTTCAGAACTGCCGCGCTCTCTGATCCAGGACTTCTGCTTCCAGAAAGTCATTCTGGGGAGGTATCAGCAACCCAGATGTGTGCAGCAAGGTGGGTCGGTCATCAGGAGGTTATCACACACAGCCACGCAGCACAGGACAAGCCCGCCTCTCCTGGAATGGAAGGATCCAGGAAGACAGGAAGTCACAGGTGACGCAATCCTGGGCAACCACGCGGAATCACCATGGCCCCACACAAACACTGGAGTTTAAGATGGAATGAAATTAATCAGGGGAAACGTGTTTGTGATCCAGTATTGTGCCTTCTGCAGAGTTGGACATGGTTGACATTTCCAGGACAAAGCCACACAAGAAAACTATGATTAATGTCTGACACATGAGACTTGAAGCTTGGCCAGGTGAGATGTGATGAAGATATAGAACTGAGACTCAAAACTGATTTCCTGCTCATGACAGTCTTTTAACCTACCCAACATCAATCCAAAATCCTCTTTGGAGTTGAAGAAACTCTGATTTTTTTTGAAATTACACAAATCAAAGTGTCCATAAGGATAACGGAGGGCATTTTGAAGTCTCACATGAACTAGACGAAGACCATATAACTTCTAAGGAAACAACCAGCTTCAGCTATTACTACACTGTTAAAAATTTTTAAATTTATATTTATGCTATAGACGATCTGCTACAACAAACTGGACATTTAACTTAAAAGTCAAGTCAATACAGAACATTTAAATAAATGACCAAAAGTAACAGCTAACACAAACCATGTGCCCAGGTGTACCTGGTGGGTATGGCAGACCAGTCCACTGCAGCAGGGCAGCCAGGGTCCTGGGGCGGAGGTTACACAACTTCACACAGACACAAGCCCCGCCCACCCTCCACCATGCAGGAGAGCCGAGGGTTTCCTCCCTTGGCAAGTGTGACACAGATCACTGTGGTTACTGTTTTCCAACCTGGACCACAACCCCAGGTGCCATCCTCACTAAACCGTGGGACAGACGAGGCTGTGCTGAGAAAGCTGATTCCGGGGAGGAGCCACCACTGCAGGGCCCCCTCTAGCATGGCGGTCATGGGAGTCTGCCAAGTCCACGCTGTTCTCAACCAGCAAGCGGCAGCAGCTTGAGGTTCCTGTCACAGCCTCCCCAGAGCACAGGACAGGAGACCCGGAAACCTGGGAGGCAGACAGTGGTGACAAGCTGAGTGGGGTCTTACTTTACTAGCTGTCAAAACAGTTTTCCTCCTTTCAAAGCACACTCGCCCGCACTAGTAAAGCTGGCCTGTCTCACAAGAGCCTCCAGCATCCTCAACAGGTCCCGCCCAAGACCGAGGTAATGATCCTTGAAAAATAATTGGGCCTTTTAGTACCTTGCTTCGGTTCTTGAAGGAACCCAAGATGACAGGGCTCTGCTGTCTGTCCATAGAGGGACTCCTGGGTGAAGTTTCCTTGGCTACAAAGTGGAAGGACAGGGCCTGCTTCCAGCATTGTTGTGGGGCTGAAGGAAGTTACATCTGTGTGTGAGTCCAGGTACACACGCGGGGCAGCACAGCAGCTGCACCTAGACCGAAGACACCGTGACAGCTGCCACTGACACCTTGTCATCACTGTTGGGGGTTAAAGCGGGTTCCTTTTGCAAGTACACACGAGATTGGTCTCATTTTATAATCACACCACAGACATTGATCTGCATTAACTAAGTGTCAGCTGCATCTAAGTGAAAGGACATTCACTTGAGGGTCTCAGGCCAGAGACCGGCAACCCCTCAGCTCATGGACAGTGGGAGGAGAGGCGCCTCCAGAGGCTGCCTGGTCTGAACATTCCAAACAAGCCAACAGGAGTTACCAAGAAACCGGGAAGGCTGGGGCTAAACTTGGACTGGCCACCATGGCCATCCAGTTCTCCAGCTCACTGTGGTCTTACACACCTTCAGCTCTCTGCACTGGGTTCCTTTATCTGTAAAATGGGGTATTTCCTATTTTACAGGGAGGTTCTGAGGGCATGTGAGCTCATGGGTTCTGCCCCAAAGCCCTGTTATACCAGCCCCGCCTCCAAGTCTTTGTGATAAGACTCCACAGCGAGAGTTAAAACAAAAGACAAAGGGAGCCACTCCAGCCTGCACCAAGGCAGAGCCAAGAGAGGGCCTGCCGAGACCCACGCACAGGAGCGCAAGCAGAGGCGGCCAGCACTGGGGCTGGCAATGCTGCAGTGTCCCTCCAGTATCCAGGCCCACTAGGGCCAGCTGCACCGCACACCTGGACTCCTAAGCTTTACTGTTAGTCACTTCACAGCAGCATTTCAAAGGAGAAGCCAAGACTTCATGACATTTACAAGCCTCTCACAACTGACGAAGCTTTCCCGAGACATGGCCTGTCTGAACCCGAACTGCCTCACCTCTGGCACAGGAGTCCTCTGCAGCCCCTCACAGCACCCGATGCCCAGACTGTCACATGACCCTTGCAGGCCCGACTTCCTCAGGACCCTGACAAGCAGGGATGCGACACCAAGGCACACCCAACAGCCAGTGACTGCTGTCTGGTTTCCTAATCGGATTTTCCTGTTGTCTGGAAAAAGGACTTTTTCCTAATTCAGTCACCTAAATTGGAAGTTGAAGCTTCTCTTGACAGGCTGGTGGAATGTGGCCTGAGTGACCCCTATAAGACATGAACAGACCATCCAGTTCTGAAATCTCACCCATCATATTCACGAGTCTTCACCATTTCTGGTTTTAATTACATTTCTTGCAGTGTGACAAGTAATTTACATATACAGTACTTTTGGTATTTGTAACATTGAATTTTGCCTAAACAATATTCAAAAGCCAGAGACCAAAACAAAAAAGTCTTTACATTAGTTCTTCTTTCAAAGTAGACTCTAAAGTTGTTTTTCAAACTCAAGTTTACTATCCAGTACTAAATTGAGAAATTAACTTAGAGGTTCATGTCTAGTATTTAAAAAAAAATAACACTAGAACAAAACAGAAAACACCAGCATGCAGCACACACAGCCAAAGCACACACTGAGCATATGAACTGAGTTACTGAGTGAAGTGTGCTGCTCATAGTGGACAAGAACCCACAGAGCCCCTGTGCACTGCCAGTGAGCCGACAGAGGCTGGCAGCGTTTCCTCTGCAGGACTCTGGGTGAAGCTGGCTAGACCACGAGCAGGACTGCTCAGTCCTAGGAAAGAAATCAGAGAAATCAAACAAATCTAATTAGCTTCAATAACTCAAAAAGAAAAGACATATGCTTTCAACTACTGGTGTTTCATTTTTGGGTTGAAACAAATTTACCTACTAAGAACTCTACAACACAAAGAGAGTGACATTATCCACCTCTTCCTCTACTAGACATTTCACCAGAATAATTATTGCCCTTTGTAAAACTGAAATGGAATTTGCCTGTAAATAAGCTTTAGGCATACATAAACTTAAGTATTTGTAAACCAAATATTAAATTACTGTTTACAAAACTTTAATTTCTAAAACATTTTAAAAGTCACACAAACTATCTTATAGAAACAAAACAATTTACTAGTGTTTCCTAACATTGCTTTTTAAAGATTATACTAGTTTTTTAAAGTTCAAAAAGTTAGTATTGCATGTATGCTCTTCCTGTGTGCATTAAATACTGTGCTAAACACAGGCAAGCACACAGGGGCTTGTAAACAATGGGACTCTGTGCCACAGGCCCAAGAAGTCATTACTGAAGCTGCAAGGATAGTCTGCAGCACCTGGCAAAGCCAGGCAGGTGTGGCTGCTGCAAGCAGGGGCACACATGCCTCTGATACACATGAGAGGCAGAAGACCCACACTTCTTCCCTGCCCACTGACTAGTCCCTCAGCACAGCAATGTAAGAACCAGTGTGTGTTGTGTGTGCGCAATTTCACATGAAGTCTGGTTTAGAGCAAGTCTCTAAAACAGGACGTACATAAAGCTTCTTCAATATTAAATCTAAGAAATATCCCAGAAAATCACTAAAAACCAATACAAATGTTATAATTTACAAAATTTTTAACTGTAGAATCACTTAAATATTATAGAACCAATTGACGATAAAAAGCTAAGTCCCCTTGAAAACCTTGTTAGGTATAACGCCTGATGACCTTTTAAAATGGGAACTAGGACTGGGGTTGCAGCTCAGTGGTGGAGCACTTGCCTAGCATGTGTGAGGCACTGGGTTCGATTCTCAGTATCACATATAAATAAATAAAATAAAGGTCTTTTGACAACTAAAAAATTACTTTAAAAAATAAAATGAAAACTAAAGGCAAGCAAGAATACCCCACTTGACTTAAGGCAGTCACTCGGGCACCCTGTCCATCTAGAATAGCAAAGTAGCTGCAGACTTGATGACCTCTGAGCACTCGGAGAACTGTCCTTCAGAGCCTGTTCACCTTCTATTCCTCCAACATTCAACTACAATAAAAGAAAGGCCCCTGAGCGTGACCATCCTCACCAGGACTCAGAACACGTGGCCTCGGCAAGCTGCCATCCACTTGCGTGGTTCTCATACAAACCAGCATCCAGCGTATGTCCAGCAGAGCACCTGCATTCGACTACACCTCACTCCAGAGGAAGAGCCCTGTGTGTGTGACCACAGCAGAGCCTGGCAGGACTGTGGCTGTGCAACAGAACTCTGTATCTCACAGTCACAGGCACAGGGACCCCAGGGGAGCCACTCTTCCATTTAGAGCTCAGCCTGTCTCCACAGCAATGAAAGTACACCCAGCGAGTATCTGAGACTGAAAACCCAGTACACACAAGACCTGACTTGAGTTCTCAGACGGAAGAGACTTCCAGATGAAGAAGAAGTGGAGACAGACACGAAGAAGTTTAATATTTTACTACAAAAAGTTTTATACATCTTACAAATATCCAGGAACTCTCTTTTTTGGAAGTGCCTTGAAACTGGTTTAAGTTAAAGATGATTTTGGTATACTCCTGAGTTTTTTTCTGTACTCTCCTTACTTGATCTGCTCAAAATATGAATTCCAAGTTTCAGTAAAATCAAAGCTTGCAACTAATACTAAAATTGGGACAATTAACAGTGAAATCAGAAAGCAGCTGGTATTTATAATCTTCTAGGCATGTGGATCTTATGCTGAGAAATCCACCATTACTAGACTGGTGGTATACACTGAGTGTTGCTGAGAACCACAACTGAAAATGAATGTTTTTTTTATTTTAAAACTAAGCTCATTGATATGAACTCAAAAAGCAATGTAGAGATATAAATAAAGGAGAAGTACACTCAGTGGAACTTATAAATATACAGTTTAAAGTTTCTTATTATTTTGGTAGTAAGTGGAAATACTGTTTTTCAAAAACGTCTCCCTACCCCCAAAGAAAACTTTAAATTCAACAATTTGAAAAAAAAAAAAAAAATGACCTTTTACTTTTGTCTGAGCACAACCTAAAGCTACACACTGAGTGCATGTGACACATATCCACACAGCTGTGCAGGACTGACCTTGGTGCCAGTGGGCCAGCCATGTGCTTTGGCATGCACAGCCCTGGGTCCCTCCTGGTGACAGCAACGCAGAGCATCATGTTTGTGGTCTCAGTTGTGGACTGAAGAGTCAAGAGGCCATCCCAGCAACTACTGACCTGCCAGTGTCTGAATGACTGGCAAGTCCCGTGACGGTGCAAACCTATGCTTAACATGGAAACCACTAATCTTAGGAGTTTCTGGGTGTTGAACTGGTAACTTTTGTAAGTTGGAAGTTTAAAATGGCATATACAAAAGTAGCAAAAGCCTGAAGAATATGAGGAGAGAAGGGGTTTCTCGCACTTAGCATTTACATTTTTCATAAATGTCACAGAAGCCAGGAAATTAAGTGATCTTTGAAAAAAATGCTTTAAAAAGTTTTAAATGTACATGTAGCATAAAAGGCAAAATCTAAGTTATGAGTGTATTCACCACTGGCAATTGTCACAAGAGGTAACTTGAGTTATATGCACATAAACTGTCCATTAATTACAATTACTTAGTACTTCCTCTGTAACAGCTTACTATACTGTACAACAGAAGGTATTCCTGTGGTGTCCACCAAGGCTCAAACTTTAAAAGAATTTAGTATTTTTCTCTTGGCTCAAAGTCTAATGAACTCTCTATAACATAAATCAGAAACTGTTTTTCTTTTAGTAAATAAAAATATAATTTGCAATTATTACAGCCCAATGCACCCACTGCTATGATGATTGGTACAAGCAGTTTCTACAAAACTTGAACCAGCTGTGGTGATGCACCCCTGTGATCCCAGCTCTCTGGAGGCCGAGGATGGCCTGGACAACACAGTGAGATACTGTCTCAAAAAGAAAAACAAAAACAAAACCACCCAGAATTTAGAAACTTCATTTTCTGAAGAAGCTTCACTTGGGGCCAACAGGGCCTTTTGAAGGCTTCTAAATAAAGCATTCAGTGGGGTTTGAGTGACTCTTCAGAAAGTCTGGACATCTGCCCTTCCTCGCATGTTCACTCCAGGTGGGGACTTTTCGTCTGGACAATGGCAAAGGTGTCTGCAGAAGAGTGTGCTTTTCCATAACATCACGAAAAACTTGTGTTTAACTAGAAACTATGGGGTACATCAGAAAGCTAAGTTTAAAAAATAAGATCAGTTATAGCCAGTTTCTTGGATAATGAAGAAAATGATACTGACAGGCCCAGTCCCTACACACAGACCAAAGTCGGTATGAAGTGCTCTGCGTTGACAGGAATGGCCTGAGTCTGGAGTCCCTGGGGCTCCTGATTGCAGAGTGGCACCCTTTGCGGGTCTCACAGTGCCTTCTGGTGCCCATTTGCAGAAGGTTTGGTTGATTCTGAATCCCTTGAAGTATTTGATAAGTGAAGCTTATGAAGCCCTGCAGAAAAATTGAGAAAATGGTGAGAAACAATGTATTGTTGAGGGGCTGGGCAAGGGGCTGGGGTTGTGGGGAGAGAATATTCCATTTTATTGTGGAAGTTGTATGTGCTGGCCAAATGCTTTCTAGGAATGAAGGATTTCTTCTCCCCACTGGCAGCTCACCCTGGGGATGACCGCAGCTGAAGACAGCTGCTGGAAGGAAGTCACACCCCCTTCCAGGATAGTCTGCCTCTAGTGACCGGCAGGCGTGAGGGGCCTCTTCTTACCTCAGTGGAGCTCTGAAGGGTCATCCAGAGTCATGACTCCCCACAGGGCCAGCAGAGGCTTCAAAGCTCAATTTCTCTTCACAGTCCCTCCATTCTCCCCTTCCCCTTCCCCCGTAAAGTCTCCTCTTGGCAAGCTCACTCCCATCACAGAGCATGCTTCCCAGAAGACCTGAATACACATGCACACCTGGAACAGTGGTTCACACCTGCAATCCCAATGACTCAGGAGGCTGAGGCAGGAGGATGGCAAGTTCAAGGCCAGCCTCAGCAACTCAGTGAGACCCTAAACAACTAAGCAAGACCTTGTCTCAAAATGAAAAATAAAAAAGGGCTGGGGATGTGTGTCTCTAAGTTCAACCCCCAGTATTCCTCCAAAATACACATGCACTTATGCACATGCAGGAAAATGTAGGGAAGGAAACAGCAGAAATATTAAGTATGTAATTAAGAAGAAAACTCATAGGAAAAAATTACCAAAAGGGACAGAAAGAAATAACAAAGGAACAAAACAAATATAAAAATACTTCATCACTCAAAGATATTTTATAAAATAAAAATCTTCATCTTTTTCAGTTACACTGACTTCCCTCTAGCATCCTGTGCTCTCACTTCCATACTGTGCCTGACATGTGAAACAACAGTGTGCCCTCACAGGAAGGAAAGGTGTAAGAAAACTCAAAAGAGTTCAGGTGGCACGAAAGCAAGAAATAATTTTCATGAAGCTCAGACCTTTTTGACACTTCAAAAATGAATGAAGAAAAGACTCTTTTACTCCTAAAATTCCAGATAGTAATCTTCCTGTTAGGCAGTTTACATCACTCTTAAACACTCAAATCTCAATTTTAAAAATTTCTGTCACCTGTTTATCTTAAGGAAAGAAAAAGTGAAGTTGAACTTATGTATGGCATTTGAATGGGAAGGAAAACAGGCTCCATCCAAGAAAAAAACAGTTCTGGTCCCAGTAATGGCCAAACCACTAAGTGAGCAGGGAGGCCACGGGCACAGTGCTGGGCATGCATTCTGAAAACCTGCACGTCCCTTTTCTGTGGTCAGCTCCAGAAACAACCCCCCATTACCACCATCACCATATGTCCCAGGAGTTCTCTGAGATGGACACTGTTATTGCCAATGAACATAGGAGCAGAGGGGGAAGACTACAGGAAAATAAAAGGAAAAAAGGAGATAACTTTTAGAACCAAATTTTGCCTCTTTAAAAAAAGTCACCCTTGAGTTCGGGGCTCATTCAAACACTGTAGGCACTTAAAGAGGACCTCCTTCTATGCCCAAATGGCCCCTGGAGAGCACCCCAAAGAGTAATGGAAAACACTTAAGCAGGAAACAGACTAGCTTTTGCAACGCAGAGTGGCCGACACGTTACAGCCCTTACCTCTGCGTGCCTCCTAGAGGCCGCCTCGGCACAAAAGCAGCCAGAGCCCTCACTCAGCACCAGCTCACGGCCTCAGCCAGCCAGTGACCAGTGGGTTCTCCTGAGCAAAGAAGTACACCTTAAGTTCGACTCCAGGCAGCTGACTGAGAGGCTCTATGAGTCCCACTTCATTTGCAGTTTTCATCTGGCCAGCATTATGAAACCTAGGCATTAACACTCATAAATTACCTGGTGCTCTGGCTGATAGTAGATGTAGCTATTTCCTTTCTGCCAGTACTTCAGTCAGTCACCCCTCACAGGGCACATTCAAAGAAAAATGCACATGGACTGGTAGGCTGAGATCATTTTTTCCTCCCAAAGGTCACCAGGTTGGTGGTGTGAGCAGCTTTACTGCTGCTCATGTGGTTAAGTTACCTGAGAGTTGGACCTTAATGAATCAATCAATATCTTGCCTTTGAAAGAGCTAAACCACAGTGTAATATGGAGTATAAACATTCAAATAGTGTCAACTTGGGAAAATGAGCTAATGCCAGGATTCTCTATACAATAAATTGCTGTTTCCCTTCTTCTGTCTTAAAACTACATACTTCAAACCCAAGATAGCTTATATTGTCCTGGTTGTCCTAAAATATAAAACTTGAAGTATGCTTAGCATTCATGTGGATGTAAGCATGAAAAGTATACCCATAGCTCACAACAGTTTTCACCATGGTCACCATGCACATGATGCCCGTGGTGTGTGGCAATGCCAAGACAATGCCAAGACAGCCACTGCTGTCATCCTGAATTAGTCTGACTTATTGAAGAGAATTATGGGTCATCCTGATACTTTTAAACTCTGAGCCTCAAAAAAGTTTTAAGAAATACTAAAAGGCATCATTATCAGAAAACTAGAGTTCGACAGTGTCATCCTCATCACCATCACCATGAGAATAAAGGAGCGGAGGCCCACTGGGCTCTTGGAGTAAGTGTGTCAGGCAGTGTGCAGAGCCCTCGGAGGATGCACTTCAGCAAGTATATGTCTTCACTGCCCCTAAGGAGGAAGAGTCACCCACCCTTTCACAGACAGGAGCTCTGAGGCCCAACACTGTGACTCCTCAGAGGTCACAATCCTATGTGGTGGATCAAGAACTGAACTTCTCACATTACACACATTTAGAGACTGAAGAAAGACTTTAAGTTACCTGAAATGTCAAAAATTAGTAATTAGCAAAAAGAAAAATACCCATAAACCTCAGGATTACCTAGGGCCTTGAAAAGTTCTTCTCGTACAGCAGAGGTGAATTTTCTGACCAGACACAATGTTGTCACAATGGCAAAGAGCAAATTGTAGGATAATACAATATAGAAATTCCCCAGCCAATTAAACCTTCCAAAGTCTCCAAGTAGATCAAATCTCGTGATTCCTGTTGGAAATAAATAAAAGAGCCCTTAATAAAGTCAGGTAAGATATATTTGTTACCAAATAAAGTACAAATAAGATCTAATTAGGTCTCTCTCTGTTATGAGATGCTCTAATGAATGGTGCTGCGGACAACGCCTGCCTGGCTGTATCCAATGGAACCACCCTCGCCAGCCCCACCCTGCTTCTTGTACACACCAGTCACTTGCAAGCAACAAGCAAGAGGATGGCACAAAGGCCCAGCACCTGCTCAGAATCCGTGCCTCCTTTAAAAGGGAAGCTGCTGTGCTGCTTGCCTGGGGGGATGTGGTGACTGCAGCTGGCCACAGGAACCAGAGTCCTACTGAGGAGGGTGTAGAAGCAAATCCTCACACTGCCCGTCTCCTGGGGTGAGATAGACTGTCCCCAAGAACAGCCAGATGCCCCAGCACCCTTTGACCCAAGTATATGTCTTCACAGTGTATATAATACTTAATCTTTTCTTTTCTTTTTGGATTATTTATTGCCTATTTTCCCCAATAATTTTATTCTGCTCCTATAATCCCAGTGCCCAGAGCAACACTTTACACATCTTAATATTGATTACATAAGAGAATAAATAAAGAGGATAATTTCCTTCCATAAAACATCATTAATCTGAATTAAATGCTACAGGTTTATAAACTAAAAGGGCAAAACTGGAAATGCAATGGGATTATGCCATATATGCTTTTAAGTTACTTAAATTTACCTACACACATATTTTTAAAAATCTTATTTAAAAAAAAAAAAATTAATAGTCATTCTATTCAGTGAGCATGCACCCCAGGTCCAGTACTCACTGGAAAGAAAATGTGAGTGGCAAGATTTTTCTGACCACTCATAGGTAGATAAATCCCAACATTTAGGTGGTCAGTCAAGTAAGACAACAGGATTATAAGAGCCTTCAAGGAATAAACTGAAGAGCTACTAGGGAGCCATGCAAAAATGGAATTACAAAGAATTACAAGAAATAACAGGAACCATCTACAGAACTGTACAGTTATGTACATCATATATTATGGGTGCCTTAAGGATTCTACAGGTGATTTCAAGAATACCTTTGACTCAGTCTCACATTGTCAGCTGACTTGTGACCTTGACTCTCAGCCTTGCCAACTGCAGAGAGCAGCACAGAACTGCATACACACAACACAAAACCCTCTCACAGAAAAGGGTAAGAACAGGGGATCCAAGCCTGCTCTGTAGTCACTCCTACCAGAGACCAAGCATGTAAATTTGAAAGACAACATCAAAGTATTTTTCGAAAACGGGATGAAATGCTTTCAGAAGTGTTATGTGGAATTTGTCATGTGTTGTTATGAGATGGTGACAGTCATCTTGGCTGCAGCATCTCAGCTGTAAGTCCAGTAAAGCTTCACTTTGTTAAAGGAATGGGTATCGAATTATATATTTCAATTTTCAAATAAAGCAGACTTTGAGGGAGCCTAGGAAGTTACCTGTAAACGAGCTATGGTCCTACCAAAACAAGTCTCCGTAATTTCAACTAAGACCCTAGATTGGCAGTTTATCTGACCTGCAGAGCAAAACATCCCTTTTTGAATCTGGGAAGGGTTATGCATTGCCTTACTAGAAAAACACACATATGTACATACACCCCAAATTTTGCACTCCATGAGGCTTATTTGTTAAGAACTGACAGGTCCCAGCCTAGGATGAAAACCCTGCCTCAAAGGTCCAGAGCAGTCTCACCTGACCAACAATGTGTGGATCATATACTGCCCTTAGTAAAGACAAAATCTGGGCACATATACTTACCATGTGCTTTTAGTTATTCATAAACTATATATGTACTATTTACTAATACAAAACACTTTGAAAGTTACTAATACAAATACTAGGTCTAACATTTTCTTCCCATGGTTCAATGGCTGATCTTAAGAAACTTGGAAACCAACAGAACCTGCTATGTGGTCATTTGACCACCCTGGACTTGGCCTGCCCTATATTGTGACAGTGCTACGTGGAATGAGAGTGGAGAGGTGAGGTCATGGAAACCCCACAGTAAGAATGGGTGGTGTGCCAGAAGAGGAGGGTGGGCTTTGACTAAGACCACCTCAATGGACTTGACCTGGCATCCGAGAGAATCAGGGCCCAGGCCTAACAAGGGATGTCCAGGGAAAGGACATCCTTTAGCAGTAGGTGTGGTTCCCAGGATCATTCAGGTTGACCTCACAAAGACAAACCCAGGAGCCTGCTGCCATAGAGTACTGGGAATCCAGACAGAATACTAGCTCCTGGGGACTAGTCTAAAATAACTGCTGTTTCCACTGCAACTTTTCTTAAAAAACTGAACTGATATTGACAAAGATTACTGTGGACAACACACATAGCTCTTTAATTCTGAAACTTGAAGCAAAAAAAAAAAAAAAAAAACCTGAAGTAATCACTTAAGATTCTGGCATTGAGGCTTCTATAACAGCAATAATTAAAATTATTTTCAAATTAAAAAGCGCCAATACTTAACACAATGCAGCCACACTCAGACAAAGCTTTGATTTATTAACACTTATCATATGAACATACAGTGCTTCTAAACCTGTATTTCTGGAGAAAGGCAAAAGGGTATTTGGACAGCAAATTTTAAAACACTACATGCCTAAATACACCCATTTAGAAGTTCCCTTTGTTAAAGGGTAAGTAAGAAGCTTAGTCAAGCCGCACCTGGGCAGAAGGTCACATCACCTGCATCATATTCTCTGCTGAGAATAAAATACTCTTCATAAAAAGTTGCATGTCAACTCCCCACCCCCACCCCCAGGATTCAATCAAAAATGTTTTAGGTGTAATTCTTTGAATAACAATCTTTTTCTACTCATACTTTAAAAGAACTAATGTACAGAATAAAACCTCATTTTAAGAAAGAGATGGCTACTCCACCCACAAGGTGAGTCAGACAACTCCTGCTGTTCTTAGCCCAGCTGAGTGGACTTGGCCTTTAGCAAGCACACTCGTGTTCTGCAGGAGCTGGTAGGAGAGCACTCAGAAGCTTGGCACACAAAGGACAGCAAAGGGACTTTGTCAATGAATTACACACGTGGCCTGTTGTACAAATGGCTGACGCAAATATCCATGACTTAGATGTAAGGCTGCCCAAAAGCACACAGTCATCTCATTATAAAAAACAAACTCCTACATTAAATTCTATTGAAATATAAGGATGAACATATTTTCTCTTTCTGGAAATGGTTAAATCACTATTCTGACTAGGTTTACAAATTCCCTTCTCTAAACCAAACTTTTAAAATAATTTTAGCTAAGATGGTATCAAAAACCAAACATGACTCAAGAGTATAAAATAATAAAGTCTACATCACTTTAAACATCATGACTTCCAGGATAATGTACTTAGGCTCGCTGTCAACTATTTTATTTGCTAGAAAAATCAAGGTATTCACAGACTAAGGGAGGTTCCAATGTGGGGCTGGAAAGGTAGATGACACTGCTAGATCAAAGATTTTAACTTGTGACACATTTTACTGTGAAAGTATATTTTTGTTAAATGACATCAACTGGAAATATAATTACTGGCTTCAGATGCCAGCCTAGATGGAGTAAAGGCAATTAGATTTTCCATCCTATTTAAATATGCCCTTGGCAGCCATAACCAATATCCACACAGACTTCAGTATCCACTGGACAAAATATACAAAATGATGGCTTCAAGATCCTGGACACCAGGCAATGAGGGACAGAGACTGCTGGGAGATGAGACGTAAGGTGGGCCCCTATGTGGCACCATTCACAGCCTGAGGCAGGCTTTAGGCTGCAGTGTATAAAGAAGGAGTCAGGCTCAGCCACCTCCCTGAGATGAAGAGACATAGCTTGGAGCATGTGGATGGCTCTGTGTCCAGAGAGCTGCACACAGAAGCCCAGGACTGCAGGCATGTGAGGGAACACCCAGGCTAGAAATGGCACAGTTGATAAGATAACCTTAACAGTCCTTAATTTCAAAAGCTAGAAAAAAAGATTGACTCTATAAGCAGAGATATGAAAGATATAAAATAGTCTGAAATTGACCTTCTTCAAAGGAAAATTACAATGGAAAATATGAAAAGTATAGTAGCAGATGGGATTAATGGCAGATTAGACAATGCAGAAAAAGAAATTACCAAATTTAAAGATAAAGTAATAGAAACTCAAGAGCAAAAGAAGACCAAATAGTGAACAGAGCATCAGGGAACTGTTGTTTCACTCCCGATGACTGATGTGCCTGTGATCAGAGTCCCTGGAAGACAGGGAACAGAAGAAAAATTATTTGAAGAAATAATAAATGAAAATCTTCCAAATTTAATGAATACTGCACACCAACAGATCAAAAAGCACGATGAACTCAAAGAAAAGAAATCCAAGGAAAATTATACCAAAGCACATAGCAACCAGTCTGTTTAAAAGAATAAAAATAAATAAATAAATAAAGCTGCCAAAAGAACTCATGTAAAAAAGAGCAAAAATTCTGGTTGCAAAGTATTTGTTGTTAAAGATAATGCAAAGACAATGGAGTAATTATTTTTAGTACTGAGAGAAAAAAAAAAAGTAACATAAAATTTCATATTCAGCAAAAATACCTTGAAATACAAGGCAAAATAAAGAACTTTCACTTACAAACAGTTGAATATTCATTACCCAAAGACTTACACTGCAAAGAATGTTAAAGAAAGTATTTGAGGTAGAAGAAAAGCAATCTCAGAAGGAAATCTGACTCTACAGAAAGACCTGAAAAGCAACAGAAATGATCACCATGTGGATAAATATATTTTAAAAAACTTCTTTAAACACTGTTAAACTTTTTTAAAAGGTCATTGTTTTAGGACGGGGTAGATGTAGTTCAGTGGCAGAGTGCTTGCCTAGCATGCATAAGGTCCTAGATTTGAACACCAGCACTAAAGGAAAAAAGAAATCATCATTTAAAGCAAAAGCAAAGACCACATATTGTGAGGTTTACAGCATGTGTAAAAGTAAAAT